AAAAAAAAAAAAAAAGTGGTATTTTCTTTACAGACTACAGCTCATTTTTTGCAAGTATTTCATGTAAATATATAAAAGAAAGTTTTTATATAATCCATAAATGTCTAAATATAACTAATTATTCAACATTTTAATTGTATTCTTTTTATCCTTATTCATATTTTACCATAAGCTGATGGCTGTGTGTTAAAATCTACTACTACAAATAAGTATGTTAGTCTCATATTTCTTTCTCCTTTCATTTTATCATTTTGATGCCATGTAAGTTGACATGTCCAAGGATTTAAATTTCTCATTTTAATTGTGCTAGTAATTGGCTGATAAATGATATCTAATTCATAAGTCATATTTTAATTCCTATTTCTTTTATTAGCTGGCTACTCTCATGGTACTGATTTGTCACTTATTTTTAATTTTTTCTGTATTTTTCTGATGGTTCGTGGTAGCTTCTTTCAGATGTATCCTAGCAACACATATTTATTCCTCTACATAATGAAAAGCTGAAAAACTTGAAGTGATATATCAGTTCCCTCGGCATTTAGGTATGTGAAGCTTTGTATGACCTTGGCACTACAGCCACCACTGTGCTTGCTATAGGGCATGATCTCCAGTGTATCAATACACGTCTCAACTTTTGAAAGCACCCAAGCATGAAGTGCCAGGAATTATCCAACTTGGCTCAAGGGAGAGTACATGTCTTAATGCTCCATTAGTAATTAATGAAGGGAGCAAACACAGCTTCCCTTATGGAAGGCCTGCCAAGGCTCTGTTTACCTCTGTGCCCCAGTGCCATTAAAATGAATGCAGCATTTGTTAGGAAGCAATAGATGTTTAGAACCAGGTAGATATATTAGAACACAAGCTCTTTTCAAACTACATTTAATGACCGCAAATCAAGACACATTCACTAAGGTAGGAACTGTGGGAGAGATGTAGAAGTAAGAAATGCTCTCCTTTGCACGCCAGAAACTGGAATTTTATAGACAACTAAACACATAGAGAAAATAATTTGAAAAGTATATAGTTGCATATCCAACCAAATGCTAGTTATCTGGTTCATTGCCATGTTTAGCTTGTATTGACCTATTATATCTGAAGCCCAGTCAATCAAATGTTACGGTACTATTATGGGTGATAGTTGGTCTATTCATCTCTGTCCCCTGCACTAAAAACCAAAACATGTTTTAAAATTATTATTCAATCAATTTAAAATTATTTATTAAGCACAATCCATACATAAATACCTGGACACAATACTGGACGCTAATGATAAATCAGATTATGTGTATCTAGCTTTCATAGAGTTTAAGGTGTATAAGGATTAAAAAAAAGGAAACAAACACCTAAAATGCAGCCAGGTGTTTGTTTATACTCTTTATAATATATCTGAGATACAGCAAGATGTTACAGCTGTGTAGAGGAGAAAAGGCTAGCCTGGATGTAAGATGTGGAGGACTTCCTGCGGAAGTAACACATCAATGATTTCGCTGGCTGCTATAGAAGATAAAACTGTGAAAGTCATGGTTCTTGCTCTAGTAGTTTCTTCAAGACTAACACAACAAACCAGTGGTTCATAAGAAGATTTACTCCCTCACTAAGTTCATTGTGGTATATCCTACAGATGGTGATGCAGACAACAGACCACTGTACAGGTAGGTTGGAGGGGAGTTACAGCCTGCTTCAAGACTGCTAGTGAAACTTAAGCATGGAATGACAAGGATCAGGACTGGGGTGACCACAGCATGAGTAGAAATGGAAAGTTTGGGCTGGGGATTTAGCTCAGTGGTTCCAACACCTGCCTCGCAAGTACAAGAACCCTAGTTCTATCCCCAGTACGAAAAAAAAAAAAAAAAGAAATGGAAAGTTCTAGCAATGCACACAAGAGAAATCTGTCAAAAATCTATGAGGTAGGGGCTGGGGATTTGGCTCAGTGGTTTCGCTGCCTGCTGAGCAAGCACAAGGACCCAAGTTCGATCCCCAATGCAAAAAAAAAAAGAAAAAAAGAAAAATCTGTGAGGTTCCCAAATTCTAGAAGTCTGATGATTTGAGAAAGTACCACCATCGGTAAGGACAGGATCTTTTATGTACAGCTTTGAAATTTTTTCAGGGAATTACTTCCATCCTGTGATGATGCTTTATTTCTCTGTTTCCAGCAACTCCAACACTCCCTCCCTCCACATG